GGTTTGAGGAACATTGGGTTTGAGCAATGTTAGGTTTGAGGAATGTTGTATGTTGGGTTTGAGGAATGTTGGGTTTGAGGAATGTTGAGTTTGTGTTGGGTTTGAGGAATGTTGAGTTTGTGTTGGGTTTGAGGAATGTTGAGCAATGTTGGGTTTGAGGAATGTTGGGTTTCTGTTGGGTTTGAGCAATGTTGGGTTTGAGGAATGTTGGGTTTGTTTTGGATTTGAGCAATGTTGGGTTTGAGGAATGTTGGGTTTGTTTTGGATTTGAGCAATGTTGGGTTTGAGGAATGTTGGGTTTGTTTTGGATTTGAGCAATGTTAGGTTTGAGGAATGTTGGGAGTGTGTTGGGATTAAGGAATGTTGGGTTTCTGTTGAGTTTGAGCAATGTTAGGTTTGAGGAATGTTGGGTTTGAGGAATGTTGGGAGTGTGCTGGGTTTAAGGAATCTTGGGTTTCTGAGCAATATTAGGTTTGAGGAATGTTCAGAATGTGTTGGGTTTCAGGAATGTTGGGTGCATGTTGGGTTTGAGCAATGTTAGTTTTGAGAAATGTTGAGTTTGAGGAATGTTGGGTGTGTGTTGAGTTTGAGAAATGTTGGGTGTGTGTTGGATTTGAGAAATTTTGGGTTGGGTTTGAGGAATGTTGGGTGGTGAACGGTTTGAAGAGTGTGGGGTGAGTTGAGTGTTGATTTTGATAAGTGTTGGGTTTGATATTGGGGTTGCGTGTTAGGTTTTCTGTGAGAAGTGAAGACTTGGGTTTTGTGGTGAGCTTAAGAAGTGCTGGGCTCGAGACATGTTAGGTTTTGTGAGCGTGTTGGTCTGAGAAGTGCTCAGTTTGAGAAATGTGGGGTTGAGACAAGTTGGGTCTAAAAAGTCTTGGGTTTAGAAAGTTTGTGTTTGAGATGTAATGAGTGAGAAGTGTTGGGTTTGAGACATGTCAAGGTTTGAGTTTGAACATCAGTGTAGGAACCAGCGAGGGTTTTTTTTTCCCATTTCATGCTATGTTGTGTGTTGGGCCTTCTTTGAGTGTTGGGTTTGAAGAGTTTTATGTTTTCAGGAACGTTGGATTTGAGAAGTGCTGTGTTTTGAGGAGTATTAGGACTTGAAGATTGCTGGTTTTGAGGATTGTTGGGTTTTGGGAAATGTTGAATTTTAAGAAGTATTGGGTTTGGAGAGAGTTGGGTTTTGAGGAGTATAGGTTTTTGAGGAGTACTGGGTTTAGAAAATTTTGGATTTGATGAATGTTGAGTTTGAGGCTGAGTTTGAAGATTGTTGTTTTCTTAAGGAGTTTAGGTTTGAGAAGTGTTGGGTTTGAAGAGTTTGTGGTTTTGAGGAGTGTTGGATTTGAGAAGTGTTCTGTTTTGAGGAGTGCTGGGATTTGAGAAGTGTTCTGTTTTGAGGAGTGTTGGGTTTGAGAAATGCTGGGTTTGGGGAGTTTTGTGTTTTGAGGAGTGCGGGTTTGAGAAGTGTTGGGTTTGAGAAGTGTTGGGTTTGAGGACTTGTGTTTTGAGGAGTGATGGATTTGAGAAGTGTTGTGTTTTGGGGAGTGTTAGGTTTGAGGAGTGTTGGGGTTGAAAAGTACTGTTTTTCAGGAGTATTCGGTTTGATGAGTGTTGGGTTTGAGGAGTATTGGTTTTTGAGCAGTACTAGTTTTGAGGTGTATTGGGTTTGAGGAGTATTGTTTTTGAGGAGTATTGGGTTTTTTGGGAGTGAGTATTGGGGGGTTTTTGAGAAAGTGATTGTTTGTTTTGGAGGAGTGTTGGATTTTAGGACTGTTGGGTTTTGAAGAGTGTTGGGTTTTGAGGATTATTGGTTTTTGAGGAGTATTGGGTTTGAGGAGTATTGGTTTTTGATGAGTGCTGGTTTGAGGAGTATTGGTTTTTGAGGAGTATTGGTTTTTGAGGCGTATTGGTTTTTGAGGAGTATTGGGTTTGAGGAGTATTGGTTTTTGAGGAGTATTGGTTTTTGAGGAGTAGTGGTTTTTGAAGCGTGTTGGGTTTGAGGAGTGCTGGGCGTGCAGGTTGCTAGGGTTTTCAGTGGGATTGAGGTGTTTGTGCAGAAATAGCCATAAAACTCCATTACATCCAGTCTATCCTCAGAGACAGACTTTGTCATGAAAGATCTGAATCCACCAATTACAGCATTTACCTGCATGAATGTGGTTTAAGAGAAAAGTCAACCATTTTCACATTTGTTCAGTGTTAATTTGATTAATTCCTTGTAAAAACTGATAATTTGGTGTGTGCAGCGCGACACTTCCCTGTATAGATTTCCTGTACAGCCACCAGATGGTGTGTAACTGGTAACAGGTGTATGAGATGTATAGAAAGTGTACTGTTAATGCAAACCTGGTCTTTAAATGACGGGAAAGAAACAGGATGACGTTTATTCTGTAATCTCTTGAGCAAATTCCAATTAAAACCTATCACAGATAGTAAGGTACCTTTAGAGAGAATCGGCTTCGTTCTATTTCCACTCACAGAGGTCTTTGGGTGTTCACTGCTGTAAAGTTTTGAAGAGTGTTGGTTTTGAGGAGTGTTGGGGTTGAAAAGTACTGTTTTTCAGGAGTATTGGGTTTGAGGAGTGTTGGGTTTGAGGTGTATTGGTTTTTGAGGAGTATTGGTTTTTGAGGAGTGTTGGTTTTGAGGAGTGTTGGTTTTGAGGAGTATTGGTTTTGAGAGTATTGGGTTTGAGGAGTATTGGTTTTTGAGGAGTGCTGGTTTTGAGGAGTATTGGGTTTGAGGAGTATTGGTTTTCGATGAGTATTGGTTTTTGAGGAGTGCTGGTTTTGAGGAGTATTGGTTTTTGAGGAGTATTGGTTTTTGAAGCGTATTGGTTTTTGAGGAGTGCTGGTTTTGAGGAGTATTGGGTTTGAGGAGTATTGGTTTTTGAGGAGTGCTGGTTTTGAGGAGTATTGGGTTTGAGGAGTATTGGTTTTTGAGGAGTGCTGGGTTTGAGAGTATTGGTTTTTGAGGAGTATTGGTTTTTGAGGAGTATTGGTTTTTGAGGAGTGTTGGTTTTGAGAGTATTGGGTTTGAGGAGTATTGGTTTTTGAGGAGTGCTGGTTTTGAGGAGTATTGGGTTTGAGGAGTATTGGTTTTTGAGGAGTATTGGTTTTTGAGGAGTGCTGGTTTTGAGGAGTATTGGGTTTGAGAGTATTGGTTTTTGAGGAGTATTGGTTTTTGAGGAGTGCTGGTTTTTGAGGAGTGCTGGTTTTGAGGAGTGCTGGGTTTGAGGAGTATTGGTTTTTGAGGAGTGCTGGTTTTGAGGAGTGCTGGTTTTGAGGAGTATTGGTTTTGAGAGTATTGGTTTTTGAGGAGTATTGGTTTTTGAGGAGTGCTGGTTTTTAGGAATAATGGTTTTTGAGGAGTGCTGGTTTTGAGGAGTATTGGTTTTTGAGGAGTGCTGGTTTTTGAGGAGTGCTGGTTTTGAGGAGTATTGGGTTTGAGGAGTATTGGTTTTTGATGAGTATTGGTTTTTGAAGCGTGTTGGGTTTGAGGAGTATTGTTTTTGAGGAGTATTGTTTTTTGAGGACTGCTGGTTTTGAGGAGTATTGGGTTTGAGGCGTATTGGTTTTTGAGGCGTATTGGTTTTTGAAGCGTGTTGGGTTTGAGGAGTATTGTTTTTGAGGAGTATTGTTTTTTGAGGACTGCTGGTTTTGAGGAGTATTGGGTTTGAGGCGTATTGGTTTTTGAGGCGTATTGGTTTTTGAAGCGTGTTGGGTTTGAGGAGTGCTGGGCGTGCAGGTTGTTGGGGTTTTCAGTGGGATTGAGGTGTTTGTGCAGAAATAGCCATAAAACTCCATTACATCCAGTCTATCCTCAGAGACAGACTTTGTCATGAAAGATCTGAATCCACCAATTACAGCATTTACCTGCATGAATGTGGTTTAAGAGAAAGTCAACCATTTTCACATTTGTTCAGTGTTAATTTGGTTAATTCCTTGTAAAAACTGATAATTTGGTGTGTGCAGCGCGACACTTCCCTGTATAGATTTCCTGTACAGCCACCAGATGGTGTGTAACTGGTAACAGGTGTATGAGATGTATAGAAAGTGTACTGTTAATGCAAACCTGGTCTTTTAATGACGGGAAAGAAACAGGATGACGTTTATTCTGTAATCTCTTGAGCAAATTCCAATTAAAACCTATCACAGATAGTAAGGTACCTTTAGAGAGAATCGGCTTCGTTCTATTTCCACTCACAGAGGTCTTTGGGTGTTCACTGCTGTAAAGTGATATGAATGTTTCCATTAGTCAATAGCAGACAGAAAATATGACCTCTCCCCATGTCGCGCTATTCCCAGGGATATCCGCCATAGGTTAATTAGAGAGTAATTGCCATTTGTGTACTGAAAGATTACAATAATTCAGCTTGAGAGATTGTGGGCAAAATGTCACATTAACATGTACTAGCATCATTATTCAATTCAAACACCCTTCTTCTTAGCGAGAGCTCCACAAGGACAAACTGGTGCAGGTGATGATATTAATATTGACAGTATTTATGTTGTCCTTGTGATAACATGTTCAGCTGTAGCATTAAATTTGGCATTAAACTGATTGCCTCAATGTAGTTGGAGCTATAACTGATTCAAATTAGCTTTGCAGAGCTTTTTTACTTTACTTATGAAAATTGTCCTGGTCACAAATTATTAAATTACAGCAGAGCTGTCTTTAAGGCTTTGCAAGAGTTGCTATCTCACTGGAAACAGCTTGAGTCAGATGCTTGCGGCAGTAGAAGTTTCGCATACCAAAGATTTGGAGAATAAATTTGAGTTTAAACAGAGCACAGAGGAATGCGATATATTATTTGGCTGAGGCAGTACTGGAGCTGAATATTTCACACTGAGCAAAGTTGTATGCTATCCACTAAAACGCCAGAAAACCCCAAACTAGTTTGTTGATAATGCGTCATGAGGTGCAAATGTGCACAACAGAAAATGATGTGCTACCTTAAATCACAAAAAACGCAGAAATGACACTCACTCGCGTCCACATCTGTCAAAACAATTCTATGTGCACTTTATTTACAATAATATGCATGAATATTACAGTCCTTGGTCTACCATCTGCATATTGTTCTGTAGCCTTGTAGATGTGTGCAGAGCATTGGCAAGCTTGGCAATACTGTCATGTCTTTCTTTTGTCTTTTAACTACAAAAGGCGCTAAAATAAGATCATCAAAAATGAATACAGAGTAAATAACAAAGAATTATAAATGAACAAAAGTAAAAAAACAAAGAAAGAAAAAAAAATCTTATGTATTCACTGACATTTCTCTGTTAAAAGCTCTTCTGCTGCAAGTCCGCAGCGGTAACGTTGCTCCTGATGTCAGTTAGCATGTCCTTTGGCAGTTGCCGTTTTGACCCAACGCACACCTCATGTTAAGTAAGGGATGATTTTTCTTGTCCTGTGAGTTTGTGATTCATATAGTGACAGTTCCCTGTTTTTTCGGACTATTCTGTGTGTAAAAAGGCATAAGGGTGAGTTCTGCAGTTAGCCACTGTGTCGACTACGCCACCTCTTTTAAAGCACTGTCGTTTAGCCGCTCCATGTAGTTCCGCAGTTCTTTGGAGTCGCTCAGCTCCACATCCTGACAGACCCACTTTATGTCCTCGTTAGGCCCCAACCCTAGTGTCTCATTGGCTGCGCAAACGCTTTCCACCGGAATGGTTGTAAACGTGGTAAACTTTACCCGTTTCCTCTTGCTAGTCGGCGAATCCCCTTTGCTGTCTTTTCCGGTGCAGACCGTGGTGTTTTCGGCCCCTCTGTGTACCTGGCCTTGGATGTTCTTCTGCAAAGAACCACCATTCAGAAGGTGGCTACCCTCCTCCAGTCCTCCGATGCTGGAGTCCATGATGGTGATTTGTTCGTCTGTCTGGGGCGACAGACTAGCGTGGCTTTCCAGAAGTTCGGCCTCGTTTCCCAGCCACACCCAGTCGTGCGCGTGATTCATGCTCTCTTGACCCTCGATTGACAACTCCTTGTGCCGGTACTTGAGCGTGTAGGAGATGCAGTTGATGAGAAAGACCAGAATGGCCAAGCAAAAGACACCTAGCAAGGCATACATTCCGATCTCGAGGTCCGTGAGTCCCCGAGGTGTCTGGATCAGGTCATCGTCAAACACGTTGCGACCTCTAGGAAGATCAACCTGTGCTGGAAAATCAGAGAAGTCGATCGGTTGGCTCCCATCGTCTGAAAGCTTATCTCCACCAGCTTTCCTGATTATGGCCGTTTTGGTCGTGGTGGTGACTCTCCTCATCACTCCATCCTCCATGCCTGAGATAGAGCTTCCGTAGTAGTGGCCATCCATGCCCGTTCTGTCTGGCAAGTTTGGGTTCGGCCGGCGATCCATTGGGCGGTTTTCCATCTCATCTCCGTAGTCTGTAGCAGAAGGTCTCGAGACACTCTCGCTGCGGCCGAACTTCACGAGAATGTTGCAGTTTCCGGCAGCCAGAACACTGCGGCGCTTGAACTTCTGGCATAACTCGCAGACGGTCATTTCCACCCGCACCAGCAGGCCCTGACCCTCCGCTTCCGCCGAGATGACAGGCCAGCGTCCGGCAGCATCCTGACGAACAGAGACCACCTCCTCGTCCAGCGAGATCGCAGTAAGGACAAAGTGTTCAGGGTTGTACAGGTCCAGTGGGGCCATGGAGCCATCGCTGAACTGCAACCAAGCACTGATTAGCGCCTCCTGCAGGACATACAAAAATACAGAGAGAAAAAAATGACATTTTAAATGTCAAGCCTAATAGTGATTCTGATGCTATCCATTTTCGAAATCTGTTAGGATTTCATACTATACACCACTTTAGTGGTTCATAGCAACTGCTAACTAGCTCATACATTGAGATTCACTCGAAAGAGGCCCCGAATATTCTGTAATAACTCTCTCTAGGACGAAGCAATCTGAGCGAAACAACATGCAATGTGCTCCACAGTATATGGAGCTTCGAACAAGCCAGGATGCCACTGCGTCGGAGCGATGAGGTAGGCTCTGGACAGACAACATTTAACCTCCGTTTGCAACTTCCTGGTGCATACCCCCCGTACCCCTTCACTCAGTCACTCGATTTCTTACCAGGATGGTGATCTACAGTATTGAGCAGTGCGTCAAGGTATGTAGTGTATTTTTTTGGTTCAGATTGCTTCATCCTAACGAGAATTACAACAGAATATTCGGGGCCTCTTTCGAGTGAATCTCTCTGTATTTGCATTCATTAATCACTATCAGTGCTAGCTGTTTGTTGACTTTGTTAAGGCAAATGAGCATGACAGCAGAATCACAACACACATAGCCCTCCACTCTGGTAGGCTTGTAACCAACACATTTTGCAGCGCAACACTGGTAGAATCAGCATCAGACGCGAACAGCACTCAAAATACTGTGCCACGCCTCCCTGTACATCAACTCCTTAAATGTTAGCTTAGTGTGAGGCTAAGCCCCCAGCATCATCGGTTCTAACTCACTCTGGAGATCAGCCTGGCCTCCGCTGGGCTTCAGCGAGCAGGAGGAGCCAGATTAAAAGATAAGCAGGGAATAAGGCAGTCCCATTCTGGATACGGCCATGCAAATAGGGATTTGCCACACGCAAGCATCTTAAGCTTCTCGCTCGCCGAGATATCAACACTGCAGGACCGACACACTACAAATCCCTCTACAGCCAGAGGGAAATCCCCACAACTCTCTAATCACTGAGGGAGAGAGAGTGAGAGAGAGAGAGAGAGAGAGAGAGAGAGAGAAGAGGAAAGTAAAAAGAGCAGTGTGGACGGTCTCCAGAAATCTCATCGCGATCTGCATTTACGTTATCTGTCTTTTAGGAGCAGCTCAATATTTCTTTAAAATACTCGATGTTTTGGATGTTTTTTATGATAATCTGTAGATTCACAACATTTTTTCAAATCGGTTGTTTGGTGAAAAATAACATTTATAGACTTGCTTATGAGGTTTCTGGCCCTGTACGTCACGGCGTCTAAAAATGAACAGAAGTGCACTAAGTAGCTAAAAACAGAAGTAACAGCCATCTTCGAGTTTGAATTTCGTCCCTATTTTTTTTTTTTTACTTTTTTAAAATTTTTACCCGATTTTCTCCCCAATTTAGTCGTCTCCAATTCCACCCGCTAGTTAGGACTCCCCCAATCACACGATGCTATCAACGCTAGGAGGGTGAAGGCTAACACAGGCTTCCTCCGAGACCTGTGAAGCCAGCCACCGCTTCTTTTCGAGCTGCCGCTCACGCAACGTCATTGGACAGCCGAACGCGCTCGGAGGAAAGCACCAACCGCCAGATCTGTTACGTCAGCTAACAGACGCCTGCGCTGACTAGCATCGCATTGGGTGATGGGGGGAGAAGGAGGGGCCATCCTACCCACCCAGAGAGAGTGAGGCCAATTGTGCTCTCTCGGACCCCCGGCTACGGACGGCTGTAGCATCACCAGGGATCGAACTCGCGTCGGCGTCACGGGGCATCCCAGACATCACACCACTGTTCCTCGAATGTGTCACAGTGCAAGGTCCGTTCAATGTTCCCGACGCTCATGTTCGGGCCTGATTGCGTCAAAATCCGGCTGAATTTGTGTAGTCTGATACCAACATTACCCAGAATCCCACTGCTCGCCTTCTCACTCACACTGGCTGTTACAACCACATTACACCTGTTCTCCATGATCTCCACTGGCTTCCTCTGAAGTACCTTCACCTCAAATTTCTTCTTTTAATTTTCTTCGTTTAAAGCTCTTAACAACCTCGCTCCTTCCGACCTGTCTGACCTTCTCCTTCCTTATAAACCCACCTGCGCCTCCATCCCACCTTTCGTAGTTTGGTGATTGAGCATTTTCTGGATTTGCTCCTCGTCTCTGGAACTCTCTTCCTCCAGAAGTCTGACAGTCTGTTCTTTCTCCACAAATCTCAAAACTCATCTCTTCAGTCTAGCTTACAACTGACCACCAAGCTAATCCTCCCTCTCATTATAACCGGACCCTGTCCTCTTCTCTCTGTCTGCTTCTCTGTTGTCCTGTTTGTCTTCTGGTGTTCTGTGATCTATTACTATGGTTCATGTGTTGTTATTATTATTATTATTATTATTATTATTATCAGAGTTCCTCCTCTGAGTTTAACTCAGTCTTCAGCGGCCTGAGCTGCTCCAAATAAAGCTCCAGCTCGGTTCACCTTTACCTCGCCTCGTTATTCACCGTCTCGCTACATTACGTTTTAACAACACAGTGACTCATACAGGAGGATAATTATTCTAACCAGCCGTCTTCTAAATATCTGCATAAAGCTGGTGTGGAAATAAATAATGGCAAGAAAAAAAATTGATTTTTGGACTCATCGTTTAAACAGAACAAGAAAAATGTGGAACAGCACAGCCGATTGGTTGTTGTATATGAGCTGATTTGCATATCATTCTTCACACAACAAACAGATTTCAATCTGACCAACCAGAGACACGTTTGATTACAAGTATAAATGGATGTGGCTGAAATCTTATCAGGTGTCCTATCATCAGATCATGAGTTCGATCCCCGATGATGCTACAGCGCTACAGAGTCCAAGAGAGCACAACTGGACTCTCTCTGGGTGGGTAGAGTTGCCCTCGCTCTCCCCCCATTACAGCGCAGGGTTCTATTAGCTGACAACAGAACTGGCAGTTATCTTTTTCCTCCAAGCACGTTCAGCTGTCCAATGACCTGGCAGCAGCCCAAAAAGATGTGGTGACTGGCTTCACATGACTCAGAGGAAGCGTATGTTTGCCTCTTAGTGCGATTGGGGGAGAACTAACTAGTGGGTGGAACTGGATACAACTAAATTAGAGAGAAAAAAAATCTTCTCAGGTTACAATCCGCATACAAATTTTGAAAAACGACCAGAGTAATTATGTCATACAGTGTCAGAAACCATGTAAGCAAGTCTGTTCAAGCATTGGGTTCACTACACGACTTTTAAGGCCTTAACAGATTATAAAAGACTGGACATCTCACACTGTCACACTGTTTTTTGCAGATTTTTTTTGGGCGACTGAAATATTGGGGATCGCACACTAGACGATTATGGATCACACACTACTCAACTTTTAAGCTGCTGCTGAGTCGACTGGAGCTCAGTGAACACACGCAAACTCTCGTGAACTCTTGCATTCTTCTATTACTAGGAGACGCAAGCAAACAAAGGTGGAACGACTCACTGCTGCTGTTTTCTCTGCCGTTTATGCCTTAAACTCAGCTCATTAAAAAGCCTCGCTCCACACCTGAGTGACTTTTCTTTTTTTTATATTCTTTATTTAATGAGACAATCAGAAAGAGTCCACACTTACAGATGTAAACAAGAATAACAGACGTAATGTAAGTAGGATTGACAACAACGAGAATAGTTCTCTCTGTCTAAACAGACTCTTAGCGTTGTCCCTTTTCATTTCACTTTATGCAATTATAAACTCCAACAACGTGAATTCTCACCATTTTTCTGTGTTTATTTGCTCTATTTTCTTCTTTCACCCTCTCACTTTTCATTGGCTGTTGGAGGAAACAGTTCAGATTGAGTCGTTGATCATTTTACACTAGATTACACTCAGAGTCGGGTCGAAAAAATCAAACATGTTTGATAAACTCCGACTGGTCTGAAACGCGATCGGGAGGCAGTAAATCTGATTCTGCGCCGCTCTCACATCTCGATTCCCTCTCCAACTGTCGACTCCAACTGACCCAAAAATCTGCAGACTAGAGCTGACCAGCTCAGATCAGCCAGACTGAGAATTGGGGCTAAAATCTGGGTAAAAGCTCTGTAGTGTAACCCCAGCTTTACTTAACACCTCCACACAGTTTGAGACAAGTGTCTAAAAAATTTGGGCAGGCAGTTTGATAATTGGTGTACATAAGCGTCCATTACTTGTTAGCTATATTAGCCTGCAAAACTAAAGAAGCTAATTTCAGACATCAAACATGTCTTCACTGCAGAAGTAGTCTCTTAGCCTGTGAAATGATATCTAGTTGATATATCTATTAAAAGATTATTGTACTTATAGATATGTTTTACCTAAAAAGACAATTGATAAATTGACTTAAAATTTCTACAATGCTGAATTAGAAATATTAGATATATCAACTAGATTTATGATGATTTCACTTTCAAAGGTACCATTTTTTTACAGTGTTAGCTGATTGAATTATAAATATTAGATATATCAACTAGATTTATGATGATTTCACTTGCAAAGATACCATTTTTTAAAGTGTTAACTTATTGAATTAGAAATATTAAATATATCAACAAGATTTATGATGATTTCACTTATAAAGATGCCATTTTTTACAGTGTTGGATGATTGAATTATAAATATTAGATATATCCACTAGATTTATGATGATTTCACTTGCAAAAATACTATTTTTTACAGTATTAACTAATTGAATTAGAAATATCAGATATATCAACTAGATTTATGATGATTTCACTCAAAAGATACCATTTTTGCAACATCCAGTGTAGCTGATTGACCATATTTTGGCGAGAACATTCAATCTTTCACTAAACTGTCGATTTAAATGTAAATTCGAGGGGGTGATTCTGAACCAACATGAGGGAAGCACTTCTGTAAGTGTGGCATTCAAGCGTGTGAACGAACAGGTGCCAGAACGAATGAGCCGAGTATTCGGCCCATATGGTCCCTTTTGAATCCGCCGGTGGCTCTCGGACACGCTTTGGGCTCCGGCTACGGGGAACCAATAAAAGGAACCGTCACGCTAGCTTTCAAAAGGCGCAGTTAAAGACTACCGCAAACTCCACAGACCGCACACTCTGAGACATCCGGAGTGAAAAGGAGAGACCTAAAACGCTGAGCTGGTGCTAAATAGAGGCATGTTGTGCCGATTAAGGCCGTCAAATGGATGATAATTAGACTGCGTACAGGTACTTCAGCTTTCTATCTGCGTTCCCTCCTCCGAACCCTTAAATAGACCTTAATTAAGCATGACAGCAGTTACCATGGGCAACCATAGTTACCTTACACCCAAGGGGATATATCACAGTCGCGGAACAAATGGGAAATTGAGAGAAAATACGGTATAAATGGACTGCCAAGGAGAGAAAGAAACTGCGTGCGGGTTTCTAAAGGTGTCACTTCATAAATGAAACGCTTCTCCTTTCACGCAGATACACAAGAAGTGAGTGAAAAGACTTGCGGGGAGCTGCACACCGGGAGGCTGAAGTGCTTTATAATATATCACACGCAAAAGAGGGCTGCTGTGTAATTGGCTTAATTTAAAATCAATGCTGGAATCTGAGTGTTACGCACATAACTGACAAGTGAACTCTTCAAAGAGCGGATTACGCAACGTGCACGGTATATAGTGAGGCTGAGAGTGTGACTGCCAGCTTCTCATTACACTTTGGTTGAATTAAAGTTTGAGTAAAATATTGAAAAATGTTTGTATGACACTAAAATTGAGTGTCATAGTAAAGAAATGTAATAAAGCACGGCCCAGAAACAGCTGATCAGGCCTGTCTAAGAACTGTGTGGGCGTGGCCTGATATTCTAATGAGCACGCATGCATTGACATTAGAGCTGCAGAACCAAACTAGATAGACAGAGAGATTATTCATGTGAATTAATCAGCTAGCAATCAATTAATCTGCTTAAATACCCAGTTGAACATTTTAATGTGCTAGTTCACTAGACAAGCCACGCAATATGGCCAAAAGTATGCGGACACCCGACCCCTAATTGAGTTCAGGTGTTTCAGGCACGCCCAGTGATAACAGGTGTGTAAAATCACCTCCATAGACAAACATTTCAAGAAAATGCTCCCCGACTATACTTCCTATTTAACTTTCAGCCAAAGTTGTTCTTTTTCTTTCGCTATCTGCTCACAAAGGCAGGACACCCCTGCTTAAAAACCCTTAGAAACCATAGTGTTTTTGTTGGTTCCTGATGGGTTTGTAATGTGTTTTGCCTTTTAAAATGGGTGGATGTCAAAATGCAATCATCATGACATTTTCACACAAAGTTAAAAGCAGCTGCTGTGTTCGAAAAAAATGAGCATACACTATATAGACATATTGTGATACCCCTCCTAATTACTGAGTTCAGGTGTTTCAGACAGACCCATTGCTAACAGGTGGCCTTTTGAACAAACAGTGGCAAGCAGTGGTTGGGCTCATGGCAAAACGATAAGTAAAAATAAAATAAAAACACAGCTGGACCACAGATTTGTTGAGATTTTTAAACATGGCCTGTTTAGTGATTGAGTTTGACACCCTTCGTACCCCAAATGTAGTCGACCAGCCAAACAAGTCTGGTGTCTGAAGTTTGGCTTCTTTAGTTTTGCTCTGGAGCTACGACGCTAATGTACAAGTTCTAGAAGCTTACAGAGACCAATTAGCAAGATGCTACCTTCATGCCTAAATCACAACTGTGCAGTATTGTTATCTCTAACACACCTACTTATGTGATTTATGACACTGTATAACATACTGTTATGGACTAAAGGACACATTATAGCTAAAACAGTAGCAGCAGCTAGCTTGACGCCTGAATTCTGCCTGCATTGTGCCCATTTTATAGACTACTGTACTATCAGACTCACAACAATTCGACAGGTCTTGAGGAAAGAGTCATGATTTAGGCCGTACAGTTAGCATCATGCTAACTTGTCGGGTATAAGCTTCCATTATTTGTTAGCCTTGTAGCGCCAATGTATAACCATTAAACACATGGTCTACATTTGATATAAGGGGAGAAACTTTGGCCTATCACTTTAATAATATTAATAATAACGATATTTGGGTATGTGTGTATAAGTGTAGCATTTACTGACCTGTTTGGGACTGTTGAGCACTTCCTGTGTGGTTGCCGTGGCACTGATGGCTCGGTTACTTCCTGTGCTGAGCTGCAGGCTGAGCGAGAGGCCGCTGACCAGCTGCAGGCCGAGCTCGGTGATGCTCACTCGCTCGTCCAGCACCCGCACCGTCCTCTCCGCCAGGATAGAGTCCGACAGAGGAGACAGAACCTGCAGCAAACATACAGTAAACATACAAAACATTTGCATATTCGTTTGTCTCTATTGTAAATCTTAATTAGCTAGTTGGCTAACATGGGCCATTCAACCTTTTCGTCACCCCTGGTCAAATGTTTTGTTGATTGGGAAAATAAGCAGACGTCCCCTACAGAGAACATCACACAGTGTGACTGATGCTCTTATGAAGCTGTATTAGTGGTAACGGTGCCCCCTTGTGGTGGAATTCTTTAGACTGCTAAACGTGTGCAGATGTAAACAGTCATTCAGAGTGGTTCACTGTGAACTGTTCACTGTGGTGGTGATAGGAACCAGACGTCCACCTCTAAAACCTTCACCATCAACATTGTACATAAATCTCAGAAGACTCGTGTGGGTTCACTTCTGGTTTTGATAGTAAATAAAATGGCTATATCTGTGTTGTAGTCATGGCGACCCACTGGCTCCTATCACCACCACTGTAAAGACATCTGAGTCTCTACAATCAACCATTTTACACCAAACCACCCTGAATGACTCTGATTACATCTCAACAACTGAATTATGGAGATATTTTGCCTTAAATTATGACAACACATTCAAAAAGGCAGCGCGTCTGATTCTTTTGAATAAAAGTAAAATCCTTTAGACTGTATCCTGTCCAGCTCAGTCCAGCTTCCTGTACGGTGCAGTTTAATACATCAGGATTAAACACAGCATTCAGACAGAGCAGAGCTACAGCACAGACACATCACTGCAGCTCCTTCAGGTGAGGCTTCAGCAGCAGGAGGAGAAATCAATCCACACTGTGTTTATTCCTCTAACTGATTCAGTTCATGAGGTCAGACACATAATCGACATGTGGACACAAACTGAAATGACCGCTCCAAATTACAGCTGAAAACAGCTGGTCAGGTAAAGTTTGATGTATAGATTTCTAGAGAACATACTGTACATAGATAGAAAGACAGACATATAGATAGACAGACAGACACATAGACAGAC